ATTGACAAACAAAAATTTAAATTAATAATTTTTGTATGTATCCTGCTGATTAAATTGTGCCTTTTTTCTTTGATTTTTTCTTTGATTGTATAGATTTTGATTCCACTTATGGATATAATTAGATTTAAGTAAATCTAAGTATAATCTTTAAGTAGAAAATGTTTATTCTTAAAATGAATATGAATTTGAATAATGAATTTAAAAGAAAATAAAATGTGTTCTAGTTAATTAATTTAAAAAAAGGATATGTAAACAGGGTACAGCCGACAGAATTTGGGGGTCTTCAAATGTTTTGAAGCCCATATGGGGGTTCTTACAGAACCCATGGGAGGGATAAGAGGTACCCATTGTCATCTAGGGGTACCAACCACAACAACAACAATATTTTGAGTCCGCAACAACGTCAAACTTAATCGATGGTATTTTCTTTGTGACATATGAATTTTTTTGTACGTAGCCGTGTGTGGACGACTGAGTATAGCCGGTACACAATAAAAGAGTAGGTCTCCTGTCATCATGGCCAAACCAATCTACGGTTTCACACACGCCCCTGAACGTTACAATCAAAAGAAATATAGGGGCTTTAGTGCACCATTTTCCTAAAATCGGACGAAAATATATATGAGAGCTATATCTAAATCTGAATCGATTTTTACGAAACACATCATTCTAGACTCAATACAATACGCTAAGCCAAATTTCGTGTAAATTAGAAGAAATATAGGGGGCTTTACATAATCGGAAGAGGCATATCTAAATATTCGTTCTTGGGCCAAATAACTGAGCTGTACTAAATTTCATTCAAATCGGATTGTACTTTTTTACAATTGAACATCAACAGACATGCATAACCTGGCAGTGGTAAAGGAAGAAATCCCGGCTAACGTTATATAGTGTTCTAATTTGTGCGATTCTAGTGTATTTCTATCATCACTAAAAGACATAGCGTAGGTTAGAGTACATAATCCTAGGGTGTTCTCCCTTTGGCGGTCGTGTAAATTAGAAGAAATATAGGGGGCTTTAGAGCACCACTTACATAAAATCAGAAGAAAATATATATGAGAGGCATATCTAAATATTCGTCCTTGGGCCAAATAACTGAGCTGTACAAAATTTTATTCAAATCGGATTGTACTTTTTCACAATTTAACATCAACAGACATGCATAACCTGGCAGTGGTAAAGGAAGAACTCCCGACTAACGTTATATAGTGTTATAATTTGTGCGATTCTAGTGTATTTCTATCATCACTAAAAGACATAGCGTAGGTTGGAGGACATAATCCTAGGGTGTTCCTCCTTTGGCGGTCTGGAACACGTTGGATAGACTGTCTCTGTGATTTCCAGCTTTATTGAAATCATAGCAAATAATTTAACACAAATTATTTTGATATTTATTGGACTATTCTTGTCTTTTTTCATTCTTAAAATTTTACAATAAAATAGTAATTATAGTTAATTATTTTATGATATATACAACTTACATTAAACATTTTTCAAATTTATCTAACTGATTGATAACTGGTTTGTTTTTGTCCATTTTTTGCTTACGAATTAAAATATTCCTACATTCATAAAATAAAAAACATGCACACATTTATCTAACAAATTTAAATTATTGGATTAATTTCTTGTTAAGTTCCTAAGCTGAGCATTAAAGTGAGGTTTGAAATAAAAACCTAACTGAAAGGATTTTAAATTGTTGAAGTTATAAATTCGTTCTTAAAATATCAACAATGTTGGCAAATATCAACATTTTTGTTAGTTCTTAAAGAAAGAAATCTGATCGGAAGAGAGGATGTCGTTAACCAATTTTTTTTTTACAATTTAAAATCTCATCTTAAGAATATAATTTTATATCAAATCCCCAAAAAACACACACATATTATAAAATCCAATATAATTCCTCTAGGTTAGAACAATTCGCCGTGTTACATTTTCATTATTTATCATATATTTACGACATTTTTCAAATCATTCGGTAACAATTCTTTCATACAATTTATCTGAGCTCGAATTTGATCGCGGGTCGTTGTTGCTGTATTACCATTGCTGCCAATCCAGGAACTAGATTCGTTTGATAACTTATCATTATAGAGATTCAATTTTTGTTTCAATTTTAATATCATATCGATTATTTCAACTTCCTGCTTATCGCGAGCCCATTGTTCCAAATTAGCCTCGGATAATGCTTGCAGTTGTAAATCTTGTAGGGTAAGTTGTAGTTCTTTGTGTCGTGATTCATACCAACCACGAAAATTGGGCGAATTATAAAAACGCCGATATAGACCCTTCCAATCGCCTTTCAGTGGTGAGGTTAAATGTGGACCAGATAATTCCAGTGTGGCAAGAAAATCATCTAGTTTGAAGGCATTGGCATTTGGGGCGGATTTAAACGGACTTATATCCTTTTGTAATGGCATCAATGAGGCCATATAACGTTCCAGGGGTATCATAAAGCTTTGTGTTAATTCTAATAGATGCCTACGAAGCAGGGCAGTTTGTACATGTTCTGGTCTCTTGGTTTTCAGACCAAGCAGGACTTTTTTAATCAGCGATTTGTCTTTTTTCAGAAGAAAATATATATGAGAGGCATATCTAAATATTCGTCCTTGGGCCAAATAACTGAGCTGTACAAAATTTTATTCAAATCGGATTGTACTTTTTCACAATTTAACATCAACAGACATGCATAACCTGGCAGTGGTAAAGGAAGAACTCCCGACTAACGTTATATAGTGTTATAATTTGTGCGATTCTAGTGTATTTCTATCATCACTAAAAGACATAGCGTAGGTTGGAGGACATAATCCTAGGGTGTTCCTCCTTTGGCGGTCTGGAACACGTTGGATAGACTGTCTCTGTGATTTCCAGCTTTATTGAAATCATAGCAAATAATTTAACACAAATTATTTTGATATTTATTGGACTATTCTTGTCTTTTTTCATTCTTAAAATTTGACAATAAAATAGTAATTATAGTTAATTATTTTATGATATATACAACTTACATTAAACATTTTTAAAATTTATCTAACTGATTGATAACTGGTTTGTTTTTGTCCATTTTTTGCTTACGAATTAAAATATTCCTACATTCATAAAATAAAAAACATGCACACATTTATCTAACAAATTTAAATTATTGGATTAATTTCTTGTTAAGTTCCTAAGCTGAGCATTAAAGTGAGGTTTGAAATAAAAACCTAACTGAAAGGATTTTAAATTGTTGAAGTTATAAATTCGTTCTTAAAATATCAACAATGTTGGCAAATATCAACATTTTTGTTAGTTCTTAAAGAAAGAAATCTGATCGGAAGAGAGGATGTCGTTAACCAATTTTTTTTTACAATTTAAAATCTCATCTTAAGAATATAATTTTATATCAAATCCCCAAAAAACACACACATATTATAAAATCCAATATAATTCCTCTAGGTTAGAACAATTCGCCGTGTTACATTTTCATTATTTATCATATATTTACGACATTTTTCAAATCATTCGGTAACAATTCTTTCATACAATTTATCTGAGCTCGAATTTGATCGCGGGTCGTTGTTGCTGTATTACCATTGCTGCCAATCCAGGAACTAGATTCGTTTGATAACTTATCATTATAGAGATTCAATTTTTGTTTCAATTTTAATATCATATCGATTATTTCAACTTCCTGCTTATCGCGAGCCCATTGTTCCAAATTAGCCTCGGATAATGCTTGCAGTTGTAAATCTTGTAGGGTAAGTTGTAGTTCTTTGTGTCGTGATTCATACCAACCACGAAAATTGGGCGAATTATAAAAACGCCGATATAGACCCTTCCAATCGCCTTTCAGTGGTGAGGTTAAATGTGGACCAGATAATTCCAGTGTGGCAAGAAAATCATCTAGTTTGAAGGCATTGGCATTTGGGGCGGATTTAAACGGACTTATATCCTTTTGTAATGGCATCAATGAGGCCATATAACGTTCCAGGGGTATCATAAAGCTTTGTGTTAATTCTAATAGATGCCTACGAAGCAGGGCAGTTTGTACATGTTCTGGTCTCTTGGTTTTCAGACCAAGCAGGACTTTTTTAATCAGCGATTTGTCTTTTTTCAGAAGAAAATATATATGAGAGGCATATCTAAATATTCGTCCTTGGGCCAAATAACTGAGCTGTACAAAATTTTATTCAAATCGGATTGTACTTTTTCACAATTTAACATCAACAGACATGCATAACCTGGCAGTGGTAAAGGAAGAACTCCCGACTAACGTTATATAGTGTTATAATTTGTGCGATTCTAGTGTATTTCTATCATCACTAAAAGACATAGCGTAGGTTGGAGGACATAATCCTAGGGTGTTCCTCCTTTGGCGGTCTGGAACACGTTGGATAGACTGTCTCTGTGATTTCCAGCTTTATTGAAATCATAGCAAATAATTTAACACAAATTATTTTGATATTTATTGGACTATTCTTGTCTTTTTTCATTCTTAAAATTTTACAATAAAATAGTAATTATAGTTAATTATTTTATGATATATACAACTTACATTAAACATTTTTCAAATTTATCTAACTGATTGATAACTGGTTTGTTTTTGTCCATTTTTTGCTTACGAATTAAAATATTCCTACATTCATAAAATAAAAAACATGCACACATTTATCTAACAAATTTAAATTATTGGATTAATTTCTTGTTAAGTTCCTAAGCTGAGCATTAAAGTGAGGTTTGAAATAAAAACCTAACTGAAAGGATTTTAAATTGTTGAAGTTATAAATTCGTTCTTAAAATATCAACAATGTTGGCAAATATCAACATTTTTGTTAGTTCTTAAAGAAAGAAATCTGATCGGAAGAGAGGATGTCGTTAACCAATTTTTTTTTACAATTTAAAATCTCATCTTAAGAATATAATTTTATATCAAATCCCCAAAAAACACACACATATTATAAAATCCAATATAATTCCTCTAGGTTAGAACAATTCGCCGTGTTACATTTTCATTATTTATCATATATTTACGACATTTTTCAAATCATTCGGTAACAATTCTTTCATACAATTTATCTGAGCTCGAATTTGATCGCGGGTCGTTGTTGCTGTATTACCATTGCTGCCAATCCAGGAACTAGATTCGTTTGATAACTTATCATTATAGAGATTCAATTTTTGTTTCAATTTTAATATCATATCGATTATTTCAACTTCCTGCTTATCGCGAGCCCATTGTTCCAAATTAGCCTCGGATAATGCTTGCAGTTGTAAATCTTGTAGGGTAAGTTGTAGTTCTTTGTGTCGTGATTCATACCAACCACGAAAATTGGGCGAATTATAAAAACGCCGATATAGACCCTTCCAATCGCCTTTCAGTGGTGAGGTTAAATGTGGACCAGATAATTCCAGTGTGGCAAGAAAATCATCTAGTTTGAAGGCATTGGCATTTGGGGCGGATTTAAACGGACTTATATCCTTTTGTAATGGCATCAATGAGGCCATATAACGTTCCAGGGGTATCATAAAGCTTTGTGTTAATTCTAATAGATGCCTACGAAGCAGGGCAGTTTGTACATGTTCTGGTCTCTTGGTTTTCAGACCAAGCAGGACTTTTTTAATCAGCGATTTGTCTTTTTTCAAAAACGGTTTATATTTGGTATAGAGACCGGGTGCAGAACCCTCACCATTGCTGCCATTTAGAGATGTGGAATTGCCATTTCCCGATTTTAAAACACCAACACTGTTTAAAGATGTCACGGAAGAAGTGTTGCGGGAGTTTTTGAGGGCCAACTGTTGCTGCTTTTGCATGTTGATCTGTAGCGTAAGAAAATCGTAAATTATTTTCAAGTTTTAAATAAAAAATGTTATACCCACCTGATTATCAACCAATCTCAACATATGTGGCCAATCTTTCAATAGTTTTATGAAAAATGGATTTGTTACACCCAATATCAGAGGAGGCGGTACTTTACCACACTCCCTGGTAAACTCTTTGAATTCACTGTCGTGTATTGTAAAATAAGGTCTTGCCTCAGCACAATATTCCAAAGGAGCTATTAAAGCTACCAGTGTCTGAACCATATGTGAACAATCGGCCGGCGATGTACCCACCACAACAATAGGTTCTGCCGTTAACACCAATTCCCACAGCGTATACATATGATCAACAATAAAACTTAGACTATGGAATAGTTCAACTTCATTTACCGACGCTATTATTTTCACCGATATCGGCCGTTCTAACTTTTCCAATTTTTCTATACTTTCTAAGCTATCATTTTGTTGAACAGCTTTTCGACTACTTGCTCTGGGTACCAGAATTTGATAACATTGATCGAATAACGGTAAATTAAAGGTTCCGCCAACCTGTAGTGGTGGCCAATCATTATTAATCTGTTGACACGCCTTGATAAGGACCTCTTCACCTTCGTTAAAATATTTTTGAGCCAATTGTGTCAACATTTCATAAAATAAATTAAAAAATGGTAATCTGGTGATAATAATAAAACTCTTTTGGAAGTAACCTCGCGGCAGATTGGCATCCCGTTTTTGACGAAAATACACAAAACCCCAATAGTGAGACTGATCGACCTTCAAAACAGGTGGACAGTCACTGTTGTAAGAACGAAATTGTTGTGACTTCTTCATGCGACTCGTATCTGGTGACATTCGAAGACGCATATGAAACTTTGTGTCGCCCATACAGCCAGAATTGGAGTCTGGAAATGCCATATAACAAATGTTGGTAACCTCCTGTTCGGTGGGCGTAAATTCTTTGGGATAAATAAATTCAAGTGCTTGGCCCAAATTCAGGTCAAATGTTACAATACACATGCATTGAATCCATTGCGAAAGAGTGGACCAATCTGCTGCTGTTGTTGTTGTCGTCGTCGTCTTTTCAGGAAACCCAGATTTTGTTTCGCCTGTATTATTCTCTAAGCGGTCGCTATTAATTTCATGCGTCTGTAGTTTTGAAATATGTGGCTGTTGCTTATTTTCTGTGACAATATATTTATTCTTATCCATATTTTCCATTTCCATATTTAATTTTATTTACACTGTATGCAAAAATATTTTCACTTTTATTGTTTTGTTTTCTACAATAATAAAATATTTTCACTTATCGTGTAACCATTAACCGAATTAACCGGCCGAATTAAAAACGTTCCACATGCTACGAAATGCAAGAGATGGGAGAGAGGGGCTGATAAAAAACTAACTCAAGACAAAGCAAACGAAAAGACCATTGTTTATATGTGAGTGTAAAGCATGACGGATTTGATAATCAGCTGTTAATATATTAAATTAACAGGTCGTGTTAGAGGCGAAATGGTTTCTCCCGAACTGTTAAAATTTGACTTAATCGTGTGAAACGTAAATACAAAATTTGACAGTTTGAGGGATTTTCTACCAAAATGGCCGATAATATTCGCCTCTGACACGACCTGTTTATTGGATCATGGGCTTTCACAAAGTATTCAAAGCCTTTAAGTGAAGTCATCCGAAAGCGAAAAGCAGCTATTAGCTTCAATCGTTTACCTTCCCAGTAACATTTACTCAGTAAGAATTTGCAGATAAAGCTACTCTTCCTTACATGCACAGATAACACGAAATTTTTTACTTCAACGTCTAAAAATTAAATTTAAAACCCAAATATTTTAATATTTATTGTCTTTTTTAGAATGTACCTTTTTAAATAGTAAAGATAGTAAAAAGGAAACATTTCAAAATCGCTCTCAGAATAAAAAATTATTTGAAAATTTTTGGAACGCAAATCTAGTATATATGTCAAAATTAGATGACAATACTTTAAAATCAATATAAAAGCCAATCAGGAGTTCGCATTCCTGTTTTCCATTTTTACTCAAACAAATTTGTTGAGTAAAAAGTTTACAGAGAAAATGTTCTTTTGCTTTGTGTTCTTTTAATTTGGTTCAATATTTTACCAGTTTTGTGCGTTCAGGAACGGATTTCGAGTACAAAGTTGCAAAATTTGTAAAATTAGTAGATTCTTTTAGATTCAGGAATGGAACTTTACATGGTATAATTATACAAGGTAGGTGCAATGGCTTAAAAAAGACGGTGCCACATGCCTCACCTTTATTACAAGAGACAATTCTTAGAGGCATATTTTTTTCGTCGTTGCACCATTATACTTTTTTAGGGCTACGCGAAAAACGATGTTTGTGCAGGAAAACTTCAACTCTTGAGAACTTAAAAACCGACATTCGCCATGTTATGGCCGATATACCAATTAATATGAGTTAAAAGTGATCGAAAACGACCTATAACAACAATTTTTACAGCAGCTATCGTGGAGATTTTTTAAATGATGTGGTATCGGGGTAGATCCCATTGGCATAACGTTACAACATTGTTGGTATTTTTGGGATTATGGGCGAATTTTTCACCCGAGTTAATATTTATTGTATTTATGGTAACAAATCCACCATGATGTAAACAATCCATTAAAATTCACATTCTCTCTGTTTGTTTTCGCAATACTGTACGTGGAACGCTTTTCAAATGCCTGTTTTTTGTAGAACAAGACGTGTCAAAACTAACTTGGGAGGAGGAAGAAAAAAATTATATTTGTTGGTTGGTTGGCATATATTTATTTGTTTTACATGTAATTTTCCGAAACAACACAACAAATCGATTCGACATTACACATTTGTGCAATAAAATAGGAACGTTTAATACGTGTCTCAATGGATTTCCTAAAAAGTGGATTCAAAACTGTGCTTGGTGCTACAGAACCAGGTCAACCGCCCAGTGCTGCTGAAACCGTTGAAAAATTAGTTGATAGAGCGTCATCGTCCACCCTTTTGGAAGATCGTCGTGATGCCTGTCGTGCCCTTAAGGCTCTCTCGAGGAAATATCGCATTGAAGTGGGTGCCCAGGGTATGCCTGCTTTAATACAAGTTCTTCAAAATGACTGTCAAGACTGTGAAATTATCTCCTATGCCTTGGACACACTGTGCAATATTGTGGCTACGGAGGAATTTGATGAGGAGGCTGACAACCCCACAGTATCGGTAAATGTGGGTGAACAATTTACGGAAATGTTTATTAAAAATCCGGAACATGTTTCATGTGTCATGAACTATCTGGAAGAGTACGATTTTAGAGTACGTCGAGCAGCCATACAATTACTGACGACATTAATACAGAATAAGACGCGAGATCTGCAAGAGCATATCTTGGTAAGTCCAATGGGTGTGTCTAAACTTATGGATCTATTGTCGGATAGTCGTGAGGTCATTCGCAACGATGCCCTCTTGCTGTTGATACAGCTGACGAAGGGCAATTCCAATATCCAGAAAATTGTGGCATTCGAAAATGCTTTTGATAAGATTTTCGATATAATACGCGATGAAGGCTGTGCCGATGGTGGCATTGTGGTGGAGGATTGTTTAATATTGCTATTGAATCTGTTGAAGAACAATTCCAGTAATCAGCAATTCTTTAAGGAGGGTTCATATATACAGCGTTTGGCCCCAATGTTTGAATTGTCTGGCCCTGAAGGTGTGGAAGAACAAGGATGGGCACCACAGAAAATGTCAAATGTCCATTGTATGTTACAGGTGGTAAGGTCATTAGTCACGCCCAGCAATCAACAGCAAGTAGTTTCATCGTGCCAAAAAGCCATGAAACAATCTAAACTACTGGAGGCCCTTTGTGAAATTCTAATGGGAAGTGGTGTTCCCGCTGATATTTTAACGGAGACAATAAATGCAGTGGCAGAAGTTGCCCGAGGCGATCCAGATAATCAGGAGCTATTGAGTAAAGTTATGGCACCCAGTACACCACCTCGTCCGGTCATAGTTGTATTGCTAATGTCAATGATTAACGAGAAGCAAATGTTGGCTCTACGTTGCTCTGTGCTCTATTCATTCCAGTGTTATTTGTATCGCAATCCTGCCGGTCAACAGGCGGTGGTCTCAACACTATTGCCTTCGTCGGCAGCCGATGTTTCAAGCCTTTCTACTGGTCAATTATTGTGTACGGGATTATTTTCGACAGATTCATTGGCCAATTGGTTCTCAGCAGTTGCTCTCATGCATACCTTAGTCGACAATACCAATCAAAAGGAGGAGTTATTGCGTGTTCTTCTGGCAACCTCTGCTGGTGGCCACAAGCCCATAACACTAATGGAACAATGTACCAATTTGTTACAACAGGATTCTTACAAGCTGCAAAGTAAAGTTGGTCTACTTATGTTGTTGAGTATGTGGGTGGCCCATTGCCCCACTGCGGTGAAAACGTTACTCCAAACACAAGGAACCATGGGTTACTTGACTGCCCAAATTAGTGGCAATGAACATGATGAAAATGAATATCTGGTCCAAGGTCTGTGTGCCTTTCTGATGGGTCTATGCATACAGTTCAATGACAATTCATTGGCCGGACAGAAGCGTGATGATATCTGCCAGCTGATAATCAAGCGTATTGGCCAGGAGAATTTCTGCAATAAACTGAACGAAGTCTCTAGGCATGAGGCATATAGCCGTGCATGCAAACAACCCCAAATTCGGGCCAAATCAGCCATTGAACTGTTATTGGACTATGAATATTGTAAACTCTTCAAAGGACTGGAAGCACTGGTAGTCAAAATGGTAACAGGTTTCGATGTAAATGGCATTGAGCTAACAGAACTCACCCTTAGTTCAGAGGCTTCAGCATTGGTTGCCCAATATAAAGGAATTATACGTGGTTTGGATACACAAATTACATCTCTACAAGAGACCGTTAAACAATTGGAAAGTAAAAACTCGGAACAAGAGAAAAAGCTAACAGAACTGCAATCATTAAATCATCAATTAACCGATCAAAATACATTGTTGAAAGCCCAGTTGGGAGCTCGTAAAAATAATGACTCCTCTAATTCGACCAATTCTTCAACGCCCAATAATGACAATAATTCCTCACCCACCAATCATGCCACATTGGAAGCCTTAAATGCAGCCCAGTTTCAAACAAATCTATATTATACTGAAAACTTACGCCTACAACAAGAATTGGAAAATTTGCGCAAACGTTTGCAGGAAGCTACAACAACGGCAAACACTGCCAATGAGAATTATCAAAAGTTACAAAAGGACCAAGAAGATCTATTGGAGCTGCTAACCGATCAAGAAAATAAAATACAACGTTATGAACAACAAATGAGGGCAGCCGGTCTACCCGTTGAAGAGGAAGAAGATGCCGAGGACAATAGTAATAGCGATGAAAATATTGTATCTTCAAATCCTTCAAGTTCTCTGACAAATTCCATAGAAAATGCTAGCCCACAGCATACGGTAACACAAAATATTTAAATCAATTTCTAAATGACCCTAGGTACTATTATACCCTAAAAGGTGACCTGTCGAGAGACAATGAAAATATGAAAATTTCCGATTTGTATGCTTCTTTCCTTAAACGGTTAGCGGCGGATACATAAAAGTCTGTTTGTAGCTAACATTGCCAATTTAGTTTCTATTCCAAACATCTAATGAATTCACAATCCATGTTAATGACGAAATATACATTAAAAAAATATTCTATAATTTAAGATAATCTCTATGTTAAAATAATGTTATAACTGATTTGTATTTAATTTCTACAAAAAAATAAATATATGTACGTATATGTTTTGCGAAAAAGTATGGGAATTGTTATTTAGTGGGGGGTCTTTGGATTGGTTTTAAAATCATTTTTAAACTGGGCCTTTACACACATGTGGAATGAACAAGAATTTGAAAAGTTTTACCACTTTCTGAATACGGAAACCTACAATTTAACAATTTGGGAATGTTTTCCTTTCGATTTGGCTGTATTTTGGGATCAAATCTTCTTACCAAACATTATCAATATTGGTCCTCTTGTAGGATAGTAACCCTCAAATTTCGGTATTTTAGGGAGTTTGGCAACGTTTAAACCAGTAAGTAAAGTCGGACTTACAATTGCATGTCAATGTTCCCTCGAAGGAACATTTCCCAAAACTTACCACTCATCATTCTAGACTCTATTCAGTACGCAATGCCAAATTCCGTGGAAATCGAAGGATATAAAGGGACTTTGGTGTACTTTTTACCTAAAATCGGACGAAAATGTATATGGGAGCTATATCTAACCCTGAACCGATTTTCACGAAATTTAACCCACATCGTTTTAGACTTGATTCAGTATGCTATGCCAAATTTCGTGCAAATCGAAGGATATATAGGGACTATGGTGCACCATTTTTGTAAAATCGGACGAAAATATATATGGGAGCTATATCGAAATCTGAACCGATTTTCCTTAAACTCACTACTCATCATTCTAAACTTAATTCAGTACGCTGTGTCAAATTTTGTGCAAATCGAAAGATATATAGGGACTTTGGTGCACCATTTACATAAAATCGGACGAAACTATATATGGGAGCTATATCGACATTTGAACCGAGTTTCCCGAAACTCAATACTCATCATTCTAGACTTAATTTAGTACGCTGTGCCAAATTTCGTACAAATCAAAGGTTATATAGGGGCTTTGGTGCACCATTTAGCTTAAATCGGACGGAAATATATATGGATGTTATATCTAAATCTGAACCGATTTTTCCCAATTTCAATAGGGCTAAATATATGAGCTGTGCCTAATTTCATCCAATTCGGATTATAAATGCGACCTGTACTTTGTTTACAATTTCACGAAATTTAACCCACATCGTTTTAGACTTGATTCAGTATGCTATGCCAAATTTCGTGCAAATCGAAGGATATATAGGGACTATGGTGCACCATTTTTGTAAAATCGGACGAAAATATATATGGGAGCTATATCGAAATCTGAACCGATTTTCCTTAAACTCACTACTCATCATTCTAAACTTAATTCAGTACGCTGTGTCAAATTTTGTGCAAATCGAAAGATATATAGGGACTTTGGTGCACCATTTACATAAAATCGGACGAAACTATATATGGGAGCTATATCGACATTTGAACCGAGTTTCCCGAAACTCAATACTCATCATTCTAGACTTAATTTAGTACGCTGTGCCAAATTTCGTACAAATCAAAGGTTATATAGGGGCTTTGGTGCACCATTTAGCTTAAATCGGACGGAAATATATATGGATGTTATATCTAAATCTGAACCGATTTTTCCCAATTTCAATAGGGCTAAATATATATGCTGTGCCTAATTTCATCCAATTCGGATTATAAATGCGACCTGTACTTTGTTTACAATTTAACATAGACAGACAGACGTACGGACATACATAAATCGAATTAAAAAGTGATTCTATGCATATTCTCAAAAGGAACCATATGTCTATCTCGTTTCTCTTTTCCTGTTACAAACATATGCACAAAGACAATACCACATCCACAGTGTGGTGAAGGGTATAAAAAATGGCTGTAATTTTATATTTTGAATTCACATACTGAAAAATTATCAATACTTAGTTGCAGGATAGCTCCCATATAATGGCATCCTCTTTATTCGTTATTTTGCTTATTTTGGGTAATCATTGCGAGTCACATCTTCCTAACAAAAATTGTCAATATGTAGTAAACTTTGGAACAGCCCCCATTTGATTGATGAATTATTTCTATTTCTGTATTCAATCGTTTTTTTTCTGACCGAAGGCTATTTAAATTTAAGGTAACATCGAATATGAATTTAAACGGGGTATACTACCGATATTTTAAAATTTTCAAACTTATTATCATTCTATGAATATATATTTTCCTCCAAATATCGGATTTTTTGTCACTCTTAACATGTATAACGAATTAAGTCCAATCTATCGTGAAAATGTTTAAATTTACATTTAGATTTGTGTTACTTTGGATTCTCGAACAGAGGTATTTAAAATCATTTACGTATAACCGTTCCCCATTTTGTTGGTAATTTCTAATTCCCCACAGCTGTTAAATTCGGCAACCCATTCGTTTTTTTATTTTATTGTAAGTACGATGTAAGTCCAGATTAATTCTAGCTCGCGATTTACATTGTAGTGCTTATTTTATTCTGGTGTATATATTACCCCCATCTAATTACATTGTATAACAAATTTTCAATTTTAATTAAATATTCACCTAAATTTCACAAAAAAACACAAAAATCAATTTTAGAATTTTTTTAAAGGTTTCTTAAAAAACAAGTTTCCTTCCATATCTTTTTTTATTTGTTGTTTTCATCTTTGTCGTTCATACATTCATTCTGTACGAAACGTATTAGATTGTTTACTTAAGTTATACAAAAAAACAATATGCTTTGTTTACTTCTTGTCGCTGGAGATGGAGCTCTTGGATTCGCGCATCGAGGCGGAACGACGTCTCTTGGCTTCTTCACGCTTGGCCTTGTTTTCCTTCTTTCTTTGGGCCAACAATTTAGCGTAATCAGCGGCAGCTTCCTTGGAGGCGGCTTGACGTTTCTTCTTCAAAGCAACACGTCTGCGCTTCCTTTGCAAGACAACGGGAGTGATGAGACGTTGGATCTTGGGGGCCTTGGAGGTGGCCTTCTTGTTGTCCTTGGCGGGGAGGGGACGACGTACAACGAAACGACGGACATCATCTTCCTTGCTCAAGTTGTACAACTTGCGGATCTTGCTGGCTCTCTTGGGACCCAAGCGACGGGGAACGGTGGTATCGGTAAGACCAGCGATGTCTTTTTCACCCTTCTTGACGATGACCAAAGCCAAGACAGACATGTTGGCATCAACGATGCAACCACGGACTGATTTACGTTTACGTTCACCAGTACGGCGGGGACGGTAGCAGGAGTGTCCCTTCTTCAACAACAAACGAACACGACCTGAAAAACAGAAAGGATTCATTAGTAAACAACTTGGTTTGTTACACTATTTTTAAAAGTATAATTACCATGGCTGAGGACACCCTGTTTCATGGGGAAACCTTGCTTGTCGTTACCACCGGCAATACGGAGCATATAGCCTTTCCATTCATCACCGAGGATATCGGCTTCGACAACTTGGCCCATACGCTTCTCATAGAACACACGCAATTTGTGTTCATCAACAACTTCGAAAAGCTTTTGGCATCCCGTAGCGGGAAAAGAAACGTTGAGCTGTAATAATGATGAAAAAAGAAAACACAATAAGTTTACACACATTTCAACTCGATCAGACAAAAAATACACAAAACAACACCGCCGATTATCGGCGGAGCAAGACAAATTATTTCAATCAATGTTTATAACTTCAATCACACATTCAATACACACAATTCCTGCGAATTTCAATGACCAGTCACATATTATAGCATATTTTCGGTGTATTTTGTTGATTTATTACAAAAATTCACTTATTTTTTCGAAAAAATTACACACCTTCATTTTTAATGTCTGATTTGGAGGAACACCAAATTGAAAGGAGTAGGCAAGATGTCAAAAGAGACAGATGATAGATGGCGGCCGGCCGTTTTTACACAACGCGCCGAATTTTGACATTTCAGGGCGTGATTGCAGACATGGTTGTATTTTGAAGAAGAAAAAGAAAAACGCTAAAATTTATTTCTACCATTAATTTAAATGAAAAATAAATTAATTATGTATTATAAATTAAGAAAAAAAATAATATATATAATTATGGGTGGCATAATTAATACAACTTAAGCTCTCATAGCAGTGTATGGATATTATTTTCAATACTGTCCTAAATTATTTAAACAATTAAATTGAGAAAGGAATAATAAATTTATTCGAATTAAACTCGCTTTATTCGGGTTAACCTCCTCGATGAAGATTTTTATGACATATATACAATGGAATTGACAGTTAAGATCTACTGGGTCTAATGGAAACTATATTTCCCACTCGATTTTGTGAATAAATCATTTTTTTCACGTTTATAGTGAGACATGCAGAGTTGAGTTTTCCTATTTTCCTCAACACTCTATTTTCAATTTATGACGCTTAAAATATGTCTTTCGAGGGGAAGAAATTTAAGATTTGGGGTATAAATCCATATCAAAAATTTTATTTCCAATTCTGAAAAAAACCATGACATTCCATGAAGACAATGTCTTGCTACATTTGTCCAATCGGATTTCGTTAGTGTCTACACCGCATTAGGCAATATTTTTATACTCCTATGTTTTTGTGCATATGTTCGTAAAAGGCAAAAGAAAACGAGATATACACATGATTAATTTAGAGAATATTGTAAACAATGTACAGGTTGCATTGATGATCCGAAATGGATGAAATTTGGCATTACAGTACGTTTACATTTAACCGAAATTCGTTAACCCAGTGGGTTTCAATTGTCAATTGCTTTGCATATATGTCAAATAAATCCTCATAAAGTAGGCTAACCCGGTAAAAAGTTCTAATGTATATGCCGTTTAAATTCCTTTTTTTTTGCCCCTCGGTTCAGATTTAGATATAGCTCAGATTTAGATATAGCTCAAATTTAGATATAGCTCCCATATATGTATATTTTCGTCCGATTTATTGTAAATGGTACACCAAAGTTCCTATATATCTTTTTATTTGTACGAAATTTGGCACAGCGTAAAGAATAAGGTCTAGAATGATGTGTGTTAAGTTTTCTGAAAATCGGTTCAGATTTAGATATAGCTCCCATATATTTTTTCGTCCAATTTATTGTAAATGGTGCACCAAAGTCCCTATATATCTTTAAATTTGCAAGAAATTTGGCACAGCGTAATGAATAAGGTCTAGAATGATGTGTGTTAAGTTTCCTGAAAATCGGTTTCCTCTTTCGATTTGCAAGAAATTTGGCACATTGTACTGAATTAAGTCTAGAATGTATAGCTCCCATATATATTTTCGTCCGATTTAATGTAAATGGTGTACCAAAGTCCCTGAATATCTTTCGATTTGCACGAAATTGGGCATAGAGTACAAAATAGTATTTGGTCTGTTCCCGTACTGCAAGAATCTACTCGATTTTACTATTTTTTTCGATATCATAAAGGAACAAAGTGTTATCGGAGTAAAAAATAGTAGAGTACGGGAACAGACCAATTGTGTTTTCGTGCCTTGTTTTGGAATCGTCATTTATTTTTGTATGTATGACAAATGATGCAGAATTGTGCATGCATTTACTTACCACTTGATTACAACGAACAACTGTTGTAGCATAATGATATGTCAAAATTATTTAAAAAAAAATCAAGTCCACTGTCTAGTGTACCTTTTTTTATAATTTATGCCCTGTTACCGTACTGCAAGAAACTAGAATTTATTACTACGATAATAATTTCTCCTTTTGGATATCGAAGAAATATTAAAATTTAAAGGATTCTTGCAGTGCCGGTATCGACCATTACATTGCTCGTTTCCTCGACAGAGGGGTCTACGATCCGAAACGACCCGAGTCTTACTCGGCCAACGTCTGTCACCTCAGCCCATTGTGTAAAAGCAATAGGGCTGCTACAACAACAACAACCATTACATTGCTAGCGTGTAAACACATTTTTACGTGTATTTGACAGTTGTTATCGATAAATAGTTGAACAATCATTGAAATTGCCATCCCTGAGATTGTTGTCAAATAAAGCAAAACAACAACACGTGGGGAAGTTGTAGCATATTTTTTCCGATTTGTAAGGAATTTAATTAGAAAAGTTAGCCACAAAAACATGGGTAAACCTAAAAAAGCGAATGTTGCCTCCGTGAGGAAAGTCCCCTTAGATGAACAGATTATGGATGGCAAAGTGGCTAAACAAAAGGATAGGAAAAAAATTAATTTCAGAGCTGAAGAATCGTCGGTAAGACAACTATTGCACACATTTAAGGAAAAGACGTAGTTCCAAACTAATTCAAAATTATTTTATGGTTGTTTCAATATCTTTAGGTATTGGACAGTAAAACTAGTAAGAAAATTTTGGCTGTTGCCAAACAACAACAATTGGAATTCAATGAAGAGAACTTCCCCAGTTTGACTCCCAAGAAATCGGTTAACTTTAATTTGGGTAAGTTGTGATATTCCATACACGATTGATTTACAGTCAGTTTTTTATAATAAATTTATTTAATTTTGTTTTAATTCAATAGGTGATGATATCAATGAAGAAGATGAAAATATTGATGTCAATGAAAATGATTTTATGGATGATCTCCAAATCGATGAAGAAGATGCCAAAGCCTTTGAACGTTTCCAAAATCCACAGGGTGGTAAACGTACTCTGAAGCTGTCGCAAATTATTATGGATAAAATCCAAGAGAAACAGGCTGATATTCAAACAAAACTCTCTGATGAGGGTTCTCTTAAGATTGAGGAACTTGATCCTCGTGTTAAGGAAATGTACGAAGGCGTTCGTGATGTCATGAAACGTTATCGTAGCGGCAAAGTTCCTAAAGCTTTTAAGATTATACCCAAGCTTAGGAATTGGGAACAGATTTTATTTATCACAGAACCACATAATTGGAGTGCTGCGGCTATGTTCCAGGGGGCAAGGTAAAGCGCGAATGACACGAAGAAAAATTGTTTAAATTGCATTGATTTGGTTTTTCATCTTCCATTTTAGAATCTTCTCATCGGTTTTGTCTCAAGCTATGGCTCAACGTTTCTATAATTTGGTATTATTGCCCCGTATTCGTGATGATTTGGCGGAATATAAAAAATTAAATATGCATTTGTATAATGCATTGAAACGTGCCCTGTTCAAACCTGCCGCCTTTATGAAGGGTATAATTTTGCCATTGTTGGAAGCCGGCGATTGTACATTGAGAGAAGCGATTATTTTTGGCAGTGTTATTGCCCGCAGTTCAATACCTGTCTTACATTCTTCGGCATGCCTGCTGAAAATCTGTGAAATGGGCTATACTGGTGCCAATTCTATCTTCATTCGTTATTTCCTTGATAAACGTTATGCTTTGCCATATCGTGTTGTCGATGCTGCTGTTTTCCATTTCTTGAGGTTTGTACATATTTCGTAATGTTAAATTGTATTTTATGATTGTGCTAATATTTCGATTGTTTTTCTTTTAGATTTGAAAATGACAAACGTGAAATGCCAGTTTTATGGCATCAAAGTTTATTAACATTTGTTCAACGTTACAAGAATGATATTTCATCCGAACAAAAAGAAGCTTTACTTGGATTATTAAGGTAAGAGAAATAAATTGAGGATTCATTAGATTTATCCCCACTGTCCATCCCTTGTGGTAGATGAAAATCTAAAGTAACAATTCACATAATATATTAGATCCCAATGAATTGTGTGACCGAAAGTTAAAACGGGTTTCCAGCACTCTAAAAGAAACTTTATGCATTATGTCGTATCAAAAAGCGAACATCCCTGATATCACCCGCATACATATTCTGTAATCCATGAAGTCAATATTGACTTCATAATCGGTCCCACAACAAAATACCCAACTTTTCCTCTGTCTACTCATACTGTTTATGGCAATATTTGTTTAAAAAATATATATACCCATTTGGCTATGGACAGTAACACCAGTCCTTTAAAGGGTTTTCAGATTATTAATAAACATCCCATTTATAGAGGAATTGAACAAATTTCCGATATTGAAACAAGATATTTTGATTCCCAAACATGGGATTCAAAAAAGAAAACTATGCAACATAATTTCAAAAACAATTTCCTTTTATCGAGGCTGTTCGCTACTTGGAAAATATTTTCGTTTCATTCACCCCTTGTTGACTACTTGGAAAATATTTTCGTTTCATTCACCCCTTGTTGACTACTTGAAAAAAAATATTTTTTAAGAAATCCACGCCTTGTTGCGTACTTGAAAAGAAATATTTTTTAAGAAATCCATGCCTTGTTGCGTACTTGAAAAAAATATTTTTTAAGAAATCCACGCCTTCTTGAAAAATATTTTTTTAAGAAATCAATGCATTCTTGAAAAATATTTTTTAATAAATCCAAACATTGAAAAATATCCATCCATTTATTTATCTGTACTCTATAAATATAATTTATAATGAACCCTTTCCGCAATACCTTCGAAACGGAAAATCGAGTATGCCTTAATTTATATATAAAATATATAAACAAATTATAATATTATTAACTAATGTTTTTGGGGTAGTTCTCAATTTTTCTATGTAAATTAAAGTGTGTCATCTTTTTTTTATAATATACAAATTTAAATTCTTATATTTTATACAATGCTGTTTATTACTAAATATTGAATATGTGATATAAATACACTTACTTCAAAAATATTTTTTAATAAATCCACGCCTTCTTGAAAAATATTTTTTAAGAAAACCATGACTTCTTGAAAAATATTTTTTAATAAATCCACGCCTTCTTGAAAAATATTTTTTAAGAAAACCATGACTTCTTGAAAAATATTTTTTAATAAATCCACGCCTTCTTGAAAAATATTTTTTAAGAAAACCATGACTTCTTGAAAAAATTTTTTTTAATAAATCCACGCCTTCTTGAAAAATAATTTTTAAGAAAACCATGCCTTCTTGAAAAATATTTTTTAATAAATATTTTTTAAGAAGAAATCCACGCCTTTTAAAAAAATATTTTTTAAGAAATCCACGCCTTCTTGAAAAAAAATTTCAACTATTTGGGAAAATATTTTTTTTAAGAAATCCACGCCTTCTTGAAAAAAAAATTTCGGCTACTTGGGAAAATATTTTTTTTAAAGAAATCCACGCCTTCTTGGCTACTTTGAAAAATGTTTTTTTTTAGCTACTTGGGAATTTTTTCTAAGAAATCCACGCCTTCTTGGCTACTTTGAAAAATGTTTTTTTGGCTACTTGGGATTTTTTTTAAGAAATCCACGCCTTCTTGGCTACTTTGAAAAATGTTTTTTTGGCTACTTGGGAATTTTTTTTTTAAGAAATCCACGCCTTGTTGGCTACTTGGAAAACGCATTTTAAGAAATCATCGCCTTTGTTACTTGGAAAAATATGCTTTAAGAAATCCAATCGTTGTAGGCTATATGTAAAAAATATTATATAAAAAATCCCACCCAATGGCTACTTGAAACAAATTTTCAAAATAATAAAATTTTTGGTTGTTTTAATTTCTTTATTAATAAAATGTTCTCTCTATTTTTTTCAGAAAACAATATCATCCAAAACTGACACCAGAAATTCGAAGAGAATTACAGGCTGCTACATGCCGTGACGTCGAAATGATGGAAGCTGATGACAAATTGGGCGCGGAGCCAGTTGAAATGTACACAGATCAAGATGTAGGCTATATGCAAGAATAATGGCTTGCAAGGAATTAATTTAATATTGATAGGAAATCAAAATACATACAGTGAGTTTAAAAAGTATTTTGCCTCAATAAAAATTTGAAAAAATTCCAATATATACGTCTGAAGCCAACAAACTAAAGATGTAAAATGACTTATGTATGATGGGGTATATTTGTGGACATATTTAGATCGCATTTCTGCAAGAATCACAGCGAAAGACCTATTGGTCTCGAAGATATCGGCCGAAATATATAATAACCCAAAAATGTTTATCACAAAAAAGTATTTTGCTTTTTATTATAATTTTAGAAAAAATTGTTACATTGAACGCGTTTGGTCTTTTTATAGTTACAATTGCAGTTAACCACATACTATAAGCGATTTGACCACGATTCCATTACATCACGGCATTTTTTCGTGGGTATTTTCTCACATTTACATTCAATACACTCTCCATCAGTATTTCATTTAATATTTGGTATTTTCTCGTCCTAATCTTAAGATGAGAGTATTAAACATAGTCATTGCGGCTTCAAAACATCCCAAATATGTTTAGAATAATAAAGAAGAGGTTTTGCCAAATATAACGCGAGGACAGAACCTTAAAAACTATAAAAACCAAAATCCGACAAACAAATTATTTAAAAAAATTCGCGAAACCCAATTTTTCTGACTTCGAAATTTGTATGGTCCAGTAATATTGATCTAGGAACCAATATATGCAATAGAAATACCAATAAGGGGGTCAGATTCAAAGATATGGACAGTTCTAAAACAATAGTAATAAACAACAATACATGAAGTTGGGAGAAAACATCATTATTCGTCAAATCCTATTGTCTTTTGAAAAACTGTGGTTGCTGGTGGCGAATACACATTCTATATTTTATCTCCGATTAACACCATCAGTTGCGAATAAAATGCAGTAGGGAATAAACGGGTCGATGTATTCATTTTCGAAATAAGATGTATTTCTATTGCCAGAAAACCGTCCATATATTTGAATCTGACCACCTTATTGCTATTTTCATCGTATATTTTGGTTCCTAGATCAGTAAAAATGAACTATAAAGTTTTCGAAGTTAGAAAAATGGGGTTTCGCGATATTTTTTTAGATAATTTGTTTGTCGGATTTTGGTTTTAATATTTTTTAAGGTCCTGTCCTCGCAATATATTTTGTAAAACCTCCTTTTTATTATTCTTAACATATTTGGAATGTTTTGAAGCCGCGACGACTATATGTTTTTGAGATTAGGACGATAAATTACCAAATATTAAATGAAATATTGCTGGAGAATGTATTGAACGTAAATATAAGAAAATACTCGCGAAAATATGCCGTGGTTTATTAGAATCGTTGCCAAATCACTTATAGTATGTCGTTACCCGCAATGGTAACTATAAAAAGACCAAACGTGTCCTATATAATTTTTTTTTCTAAAATAATAATAAAAAGCAAAATACTTTTTTGTGATAAACATTTTTGGGTTGTTATATATTTCAGCCGATATCTTCGAGACCAATAGGTCTTTCGCTGTGATTCTTGCAGAAATACGATCTAAATATGTCCACAAACGTACTCAATCATATATAATTCATTTTACATCTTTAGTTTGCTGGCTTTAGGCGTATATATTGTAAAATGTTCATATTTTTATTGAGGCAAAATACTTATTACACTCACTGTATATAAATATTATTATTTTTTTTAATATTTACACTGGAATAATGTAAATACAACTTAAACGAATTAATAAAAAAATAACAAACAACAATGGAAAAAAACGCAATATTTTCATTTTTATTTTAATTGGACACTTTATTTAATTATAGAATTTGGTTGGGTTTTAGTTCTTCTTTTTTTTCTCTGTTAATATTCGATGATATGAGCAATTATTTTTTTTGTTTTTGTTGGATATAAAAAGCAGTTTGGTTTTGTTATCACAAAAATTTGGTATAATCAATCAAAAAGGACAGGGTTTATAATTTAGTTGGTTAAATGTATATATATTTTTATAAATAGAAATAAAAATAATAGAGTTTCTCTTTTTTTTGAGTGTGGGGATTTGGTAGTTTGGAAACAATCAGTTTTAAATGTACAAAAATTTAGTTTAACTAAATAACAATGTTTTAAATCTTAATCTAAACTTTTTTTATTCATTCATCGTTTTTTTTGGTTTATTTGCCTATTGTATAAACAAAAATATATATAAATATTTGTTTGTTTATTTTTTTATTTTAGTACATATATATGTATAAGTCTATTCTAATTAAATACATAGTTTTATTTTATTTTAATAATTTTTTTTATATTAATAATTTTGTTCAGAATCAAAATAGACATTAGTTTTCCTTACATAAAGAGAGAAGGAGGGGGTTTTTGTTCTAGAAGAGTTTTTGTTGTTTTTGTTGTCACTTATATGTTATGTAAAAAATTGGACATCAAATATTGAATAAATATTTCTTTTATGCGTATGTATGATGAGAAAAGGGAATGAGAGAGATGTATGTATGTTATAAGTATAGTGAGTGATTGAAATAAAAATATTAAATAACCGTTTCCAACTAAATGTTTTCAATGTTGAAGTTAAAAATTCGAAAATGTGTGTATATGGCGTACAGAGGCGTTTTATTTATACCAACAACAATTTAATTTCCTGCTCCGAACCCTAATGTTCCGTACCGGGATTGAAATGGGTTACCGGAACCGGATCGAGAAGTCCTGCGAAAGGAGTAACGTCGCTTCATGCTACGCTAGCACGTCTCCCAATGTGTCTCAGGAGTCGTCGTCTGATTCGTCAGTCGTCCGCGTTATTTACCGGATATCAGTCCGCTTTTAGAAGGTAATAACTGCCTGCGACTAGGGAATTTCAATGCCCACCATGAGTTGTGGCATTTCGTCCTAGGTAATGACCAGAGGGGTACAGCGCTGGCCGAGCAAAATGATAACTCAACATTTTGCACTGCTCGCCAGACATCAATCATTGTAGCACCGCGTCTGATAAATGTCGTAACCTGGCAACTCGTCATTTCACTCGGCTCAGACTACCTCCCCATAATCGTCCCCATAAACAGACCGCCCGATTTCATAATCTCTGAACGCCACAATTTCCTTAACCATAGGAAAGCCAAGGATTCAGAGAGTTCACCAATAAGAGTGATAAATTCCGTCGATCTAACCCAGCAGATCCCAAGGCAACGGGTTAAGTTGATCTCAAACCCTGAAAAGAAGTAAGATAGGACCTCAGTCACATTTAACGACGAAACTGTGACTGATTCGAAGAGATGCGCGAGTTATTTTAACCGACAGTTTGTCGAGCATCCCGATAGCGACAAGGCGAAGCGAAGAGTACTACGTCGAATAAGATCTCTTCCCGCCGAGGAGGTAACACCACAGTTTACAATGTGTCATCCGTAACGCGAAGTCATTCAAAGCGTTGGGCCCTGACGGAATATCCATGTATATGCTGAAACAGCTGGGAGAGCAAGGAGTCGAGTACTTGACCAAAGTCCTCATTTTGCCGATAGCAGCCCACGTCGTTCGCGAAGTCTGGACAATAGGCAGGGTGGTCCAGGTACTGAAGCCAGATAAGAATGCCAGCAGATCCCAAGGCAACGGGTTAAGTTGATCTCGAACCATGGTGAAAAGTAAGATATGACCTCAGTCACATTTAACTGTGACTGTTTCGAAGAGATGCGCGAGTTATTTTAAACGACAGTTTGTCGAGCATCCCCAGAGCGACAAGGCGAAGCGAAGAGTACTGCGTCGTATAAGATCTCTTCCCGCCGAGGTGGTAACACCGCAGTTCATAATGTGTCATCCGTAACGCGAAGGCATCCAAAGCGTTGGGCCCTGATGAAATATCCATGTATATGCTAAAACAGCTGGGCGAGCAAGGAGTCGAGTACTTGACTAAAGTCCTCATTTTGCCGATAGTAGCCCACGTCGCTCCCGAAGCCTGGACAATGGGCAGGGTGGTCCTGTTACTGAAGCCAGGCAAGAATGCCCGCAGATCTAACCCAGCAGATCCCAGGGCAACGGTTAAGTTGATCTCGAACCATTGTGAAAAGTAAGATATGACCTCAGTCACATTTAATGACGAAACTGTGACTGATTCGAAGAGATGCGCGAGTTATTTTAACCGACAGTTTGTCGAGCATCCCGATAGCGACAAGGCGAAGCGAAGAGTACTACGTCGTATAAGATCTCTTCCCGCCGAGGAGGTAACACCACAGTTTACAATGTGTCATCCGTAACGCGAAGTCATTCAAAGCGTTGTGCCCTGACGGAATATCCATGTATATGCTGAAACAGCTGGGAGAGCAAGGAGTCGAGTACTTGACCAAAGTCCTCATTTTGCCGATAGCAGCCCACGTCGTTCGCGAAGTCTGGACAATAGGCAGGGTGAATTTTACAGGCCAATTTATCTTTTGTCGCCAATAGCGAAGACAGTTAAGGCATTACTCCTCCCCAGCATTAGGGAAAGCTATCCAGTTGCTAATCATCAACATGGGTTCTGTAAGTAACACAGCACAACAAAAGCGTTGCACGCCATCTTCGCACATATAAGTCGAGGCCATAACCAGAACCGACCGTGCGATAGTACAGTGTTGGTAGCGCTTGACCTATCAAAAGCCTTTGATAATGTCAGTGATGCCAAGCAATTTGAAAACGTCAAGAGCACTTCCTTCCGGCTGAGTTTGAAAAGTTAGATAATCAACTATATGTGTGGACGCCAGTCGTACATGGAGTTCCGAAACAAGAGGTCAAAGGCCGTAGAGTGAGCAAAGAGTTCCCCAGGTTGGAGTGATATCTGCAGAACTGTTTAACCTCTATCTTTCCGGTATTCCACGCCCTGAGAGAGATCGTTACATATGCAGATGATTGTACGATCATGGCGTCGGGTCCTATTGTTGAGGACATATACAACCATATGTCATAAGTTGAAAAGTAGAAACAAGGTCCTCAAGTCGCATGCCGGCAGCACTTGGGACACAGATAATAAACCTTGCTGACCTCTTACAA